TCCATGTGCCTGTAGGCTTTTTATTATTTCCATTGTTGTTGAGGTCCAGCTTTAGTCCATGGTGGTCAGATAGAATACAGGGGATTATTTCAATCTTCTTGTATCTGCTGAGGCTTGCTTTGTGACCAGCTATATAGTCTATTTTGGAGAAGGTTCCATGAGGTGCTGAAAAGAAGGTATACTCTTTTGAGTTTGGGTGAAAAGTTCTGTAGACATCTATTAGGTCTATTTGTATTAGGGCCTCTGTAAATCCTTTTATTTCCCTATTTGGTTTCTGTATAGTTGATCTGTCCCTTGAAGAGAATGGAGTGTTGAAGTCTCCTACTATTAAGGTGTTGGGATCGATGTATGATTTAAGCTGTAATAATGTTTAATAATTTAAGTTTTAATAATGTTTCATTTACGAAACCAGGCGCTCTTTTATTTGGGGCACAGATGTTCAGAATTGTGATGTCCTCTTGGGAGATATTTCCTTTGATGGGAATGTAGTGCTCCTCTTCATCTTTTTTTGATTAATTTTGGTTGAAAGTTTATTTCTTAGATATTAGGATTGCTATCCCAGCTTGTTTTCTGGGTCTATTTGCTTGAATAACATTTTCTGAGCCCTTTACTCTGATTTAGTGTTTATCTTTGCTTCAGAGATGTGTTTCTTGGATGTAGAGGAATGTTGGATCCTGTTTCCACAACCATTCTATTAGTCTGTGTCTTTTTATTGGAGAGTTGAATCCATTGATTTTGATAGATACTAGTGAAGAACGAATGTCACTTTCTTTTGATGTGAGGTTGGTGGTGTTGCTCTGTTTCATTGCTTGTATTCTGTTGATTTTTTTGTTGTTGTGTAGTTACGTATGTCCTATGTTTCCTTGGATTTAGTTGTTTTGTGGGGTTGGAATTTCCTTCTAGTAACTTCTGTAGGGCTGGTTTGCTGTGTAGATATTGTTTATATTTGGTTTTGTCATGGAATATTTTGATTTCTCCATCTATGTTGATGGAAAGTTTTACTGGATAGAGTAGTTTGGGTTGGCATCTGTGGTCCCTTAAAGTCTACAAGATGTCTGCCCAGGCCCTTCTTACTTTCACAGTTTCTGTTGAGAAATCTGGTGTGATTCTGATAGTTCTACTTTTATATGTTATTTGACCTTTTTCCCTTACTGCTTTTAATATTTTTTTCTTTGCTCTGTATGTTCAGTGTTTTGACTATGATGTGACATGAGGTGTTTCTTTTCTGGTCTAGTCTCTTTGGTGTTCTGTAGGCCTCTTGTATGTTTATGAACATCTCTTTCATTAAGTTGGGAAATTGTTCTTCTATAATTTTCTTGAAAATATTTTCTGGACCTTGGAGCCTGGTATCTTCTTTTTCATCTACTCCTATTATTCTTAGATTTTCTCTTTTCATGGTATCCTTGATTTCTTGGATGTTTTGTGTTTAGAACTTTTCTGATATTTTTTGAGAGATGTATCAATTTCTGCAAGTGTATCTTCAGCACCTGAGATTCTTTCTTCCATCTCTTGTATTCTGTTGGTCATGCTTACCTTTGTAGTTCTTGATCTTTTCTCTATGTTCTCCAGCTCCAGAGTTTTCTGTGTGTGTTTTCTTTATTGATACTAATTCTGTTTTCATACCTTGCACCATTTCCTTCATCTGTTTGAATGTGGAGTCCTGCTTTTTCAATGATTTCTTCTATTTTTTTGTTCGTTTCCTCTCTCTATGCCGCTAATTGTGCCTCTACTTGTTTGGTTGTATTTACCTGTATTTCTTTGAGAGCTTTGTTCATTTCCTTTTTGTTTGCCTCAATTTTTGTGGTCTTTTCTCTGAGAGATTTGTTCATTTCCTCTTTATGAGCCTCTAATAACTGAAAAAGCATAGTTTTAAAGTCATTTTCTTGTGTTTCCAATGAATTGAAGTGTCCATTGATGGGGGGGTGCTGGTGAAGCCATGATGTCCTGATTTTTGTTGGGTGTGTTCTTACCTAGGCCTCTGGCCATGTGCTTATCTGTAACCCTCACTGTTTGTTCCTGGAACCTGTACTTCAGACTAGTCCCATCTTTTTCTGGTTAATGGAATGTTTTTCAGGAAGATGAGAGGGGTTCACTGGTTTGAGAGTGTACATTGTGGTTTCAGCTGTACCTAAGTGAGAAATGTGAAGCTGGCACTATTCGCAGGCGCTTTTAGCAAGTGCAGTGTGCAGGCGTAGATTCCCTGACTATGGCAGTGGCCTACAGGCCACTGGTATGCAGATCTGTCTGGGTTCCAGGAATTGTTTGGCAGGAATTCACCCATAGACCAGCAGAGCGGAGGCTTCAGTGTTGAGAACACTGTCCCAAAAATCCTACCCACACTAGGGGTGTGGGTGGTAGGGATCTGTTGTTGGGATGCTTGTGTAGAGGGGCCCTCGATCTGGGGCTCTGCAAGCACTCACTTGAAGGCACACCCACTCTCTTGCAGGGCCAGTAGGAGAGCACAGGTGTTCCCTTTGTTCTCTACTCTCCAATTTGATCCCGCTGGGGCAAATGCGGGTGTAGGCTAACAGTCAGCTCAGTGGTGCTGTAGCGGCAGATCTTGGTGTCCACCTGTACTGTTTGCTGTGCTGAGCTCCACCCACACTGGAGCCTGGGCAGTGTGCTCTGTGGCAGACTCTGTAGGCCCCTTCTGTATCTTTCACCTCCAACAGGGAATGATTATGGGGCCCATTCCTGGGGGGAGTATCAGGGTGGGGTTGGGTGGGAGGAGTGGGGACTTAATATTCTCTCTCCTGGATCCTGAGCCTGGGGCCCAAGAGCTGTGGTCTGCGGCAGAATCCTCAGGCCGCCTCTCTGTCCTTACTCTCCTCCAGAGAAGGCTTATGACGGCCGGTCCGGAGGGGAGTGCCAGGAAGGGTTGAGTGTCCTCAGTCCCAGATACGGAGCCGGGGGTTTCTTTGCTAGGAGCCACTGGCTGCGCTGGAGACCAGGCACTGTGGTCTGTGGCAGAACCCGTGCCTCTCTATTCTTCTGCTCTGCCAGGGCAGGCTTATGGCGACTGGGGAATGTCAGGAAGGGTTGGGTATTCTCAGTCCCAGATCCTGAGCCAGGATTTCTTTGCTAGGAATAGTTGCCAGTGCCGGGGCCTGGGCAGTGTGGACTGTGGCAGATTCTGTTGGCTGCCTCCTCTGCCTCCTCCAAAGAGGGAGTAGGGAGGTAGATACTGGGAAGTGGCTGGGTATTGAGGCCCAGGAAAGGACCGTAGAGGAGTCTGTGAGTGACCTGACTCTAAATGAACTCAGTTCATGGTTAGTCTCTTTCTCCCTGGAAGCCTAGATAACTCTGTTCTGGGTTCAGCAGCCCCTTCACCCACCAATTTCAGAGTCTCAGATCCTTTGCCCCTCAGATAAGGTGTACACTGGTCTCTGCCATCTTGGATTCCCCCCCACACACATTTAAATCTTAAACTCATATAGAATTGAAACATGAAAAAAAAAATGTGGGAGCAGGAGAGATGGCTCAGCAATTAAGAGCATTTGCTGACATTGCAAAGTTTTTGGATTGTCTTCCCAGCACCCACATCGGGGAGCTCATAAAACCCCAGCTTCAGGAGATCAATATTTTCCTCTAACCTCTGAAGGCACCTGTATATACATAGCACACATGCATACACTCAAAACACAGACACATACACATAAAAAAAATGTCTGAGTTATGAAGACCTAAATATTTACATTAAAATCCATAATCTGAGCTTAATTTAATAAATGAAAGAAATTTGCCTGTCATCCTAATGGAGTTCAACCATACGACAATTTGATAGACACATGAGTTAAAATTTTGTGTTTTCACCTAATAAATAGACATAACCGGGGCTTGACTCAAGAGAATGTTCTTTCAAGGTCATGCACAGTAAACTTGAGAACTTGGATGTTCACTGAAAATTCATTTGTAAATGAATGCAGCGCGGCAATGTAGATAGAGAATAGGTTTTGAGGTAGTAGGTGTTTTGTTTTGAGAGAATCTTACTCTGTAACCTCGGCTATGTGGAATTTACTGTAAAGACAAGGCTGACCTTGCATTCACATAATCCTCCTGCCTCAACTTCTCAGGTGAAGTTTGAGAAGTGGTCGAATTACAAGTGTGAGCTACCATACCTGGTAGTTCTTATTTTAATGACATTTCTGTCCATGACAATGCTGTAGGAGCACATTCCACCATCACAGATGTGCTTCTAAGTGTAAAAATAGGAATACACCACATATTATGTAGTTTTCTACTTTAAATGCACAGATAGCTCCACATTTATTAATATCATTTAAAATCAAATCTACATATACCTAAAGGAAGAGAGCATTTAATGCTCTAAATCCTTTAATAAATATTTTGTTATCAATGGACTAATAATTATTTAACAATAAACTATGGTCCAGTTTAATTGATTGATCTTCCCTTAGACCATGGTACCACAGAGCAGTATTTTGACCTAACATTGTATTCCCAAAGCACCAGCTCAATGAATGAGTTCTTGAATCCTCATAGGCTCATTTACTGTGAGATAGCATTTTTATTTTCCAGAGTTCCGGACACATCGACAACAAATAGCAAGAGCTGACCCTTGTACTTAATAATATCTGATTGACAGCTCTCTCATGTTGAGGGTGAGCATAGGGCACAGAGTCCTAGGTGGCAGTATCTGAAGTCAGAAACATGTGACTCCAACATCTTCCCTAAATGTTCTGCTATTTTATTATTGTCAAGAGATGTGGGGGTGAGATTTTTATATTTTCTCTGCAGCTGAGTGTGTCAGGTCAATAATCCAATGTACCTGTATTTTTTGGAAGCCACTGAATAAAATACACTAAACCAAATTAGCTTTCCATATTTAACACACGATTATGACTTGTTTAATAAACATCAGTGTAGTACAGCAATTTAACCATGTAGAATACATTTCTGTGGGTATTTATATAGAAAACTTTGTTGAAACTTTTTGTGTAAATTGGTACAATCTCTTATGTGCTGACTTTTCCCACCAGGTCCAAGGAACTATCTTCCCAGCTCCAAATTTCAATCCTGTGATGGATGCCCAAATGCTGGGGGGAGCCCTCCAAGGGTTTGGTAAGCCTGGAAAAAGCATTCTTTGAACATTGTGTTGTCTTCCTTTGCCACATGTTAACATATTACCATAAGTGTAAAATAACTAAGGTTTTGTAGATGAGAGTCACAAGGATATAGAATTAGGAAAAAGTAATAGAAGGCTATGATGCTGAGGAGAAATTAAAATTTGGATTGTGAAATGAATTCCTTATGCCTTCAAATGCCTCATAGTTGACTTCCAGAAAAATTTCCAAACCAATAAACTTGATCCAAAGTAACACATCCTCCTGACCCCTTTCTAGCATGTTTCTGTTGCTACTTATTCTTGGAGCCAAATCTAGTGTCCTACTCTCCTAAACGGCTCTGTTTGCTTATATCTCATAAAGTGTCCCCATATACTTCTTGCCTGGGGTGCTGTTTTCTCTCTTGTCTGTTTTTATCCTAAATTCTTCAAATGAATGTCCTCTTTGCATCTTTCTCTAAGGCCCTACTATCTGTGCATCCAGGACTTCTTTCTTCCTAGCTCCTTCCTCACTGATAATCATTTGCCTTGTGTTTGTCCGTCTATTGCACCTGAAGACTGATCTGTGAGTTCCTAAGATGAGGAAGTTTGCTTAGCAAATTAACATTCATTTGATAAGATCCCAGTTTAGAAAAGGAATGTCCAAAAAAGGGGGAGAAAAACAGCTTGTTTTTAATTCTTTAATCTTTAAGGTTAGATCTAGAACTGTTAAAGATTCATGTATTTTCCTTGAACAAAACTCATTTTTAAAAGACTTCTAAATGAGCAAATAGATAAACCCAGACAACATAAATGATTGCAGAAAAAATTAAGTCCTTCTATAAGAAAACAAACATATCTGGGCACAGGGGTCTTTTCTGAGACTGATTCCCCAACCAAGGACCATGCGTGGATTTAATCTAGATCCCCTGCTCATATATAGCCCATGGCAGCTTAGCATCTAAGTGGGTTTCGCTTTTAAGGGAAACAGGGACTGTCTCTGACATGAACTCAGTGGCTGGCTCTTTGACCTCCCCATGGAGGGAGGAGCAGCCTTGCAAGGCCACAGAAGAGGACATTGCAGCCAGCCCTGATGAGACCTGATAAACTAGGATCAGATGGAAGGAGAGGAGGACTTCCCCTCTCAGTGGACTTAGAGAAGGGGAGAGAGGAGGTGAGGGAGGGAGGATGGGATTAGGAGGGAATGAGGGAGAGGGCTACAGCTGGGACACAAAGTAAGTAAACTGTAATTAATATAAAAGATAAAAATTACAAAAAAAGAAGGCAAACTCATAACTTCAGGACAAGGTTACTTGCTTTACAGAATATCTCCTCCCTCTTTTGCTCTGTCTCTCTCTGTATTTCTATGTCTCTGTCTCTCTCCGTGTGTGTGAGAGAGTTTCTCTCTCTCTCTCCTGTACATGAATACACACTACAGACCTTTGTGTTTCATCATGAATAGCATATCACACACATATGAAAATAATAAAGTATTATATATGTTTTCTGAATTTAGCTTTAGAAGTTGGCAACTATTTCATGCCTTTTAAACTATCAATAATTACTGGAAAGCTACAAAGACAAAGTAAGTTTTATTCAGGATTCAGACAATGATTTTTTTTTCCTTTAAAACTAAAGGGCAGAGCAATCTGGTCTCACACATACACACTCATCATTTTCTCCATTTTCAAATTTTCTGCCATTACAATCAAAAAGTGAAAATATGGATTCATTTTGACTATCAGGATGTTTTGCTTGTGAGGTTTAGGCTGAGGGGTTCCAGTGTTTCAATTTTTTTTAAATTTTTTTCTCTATTATTATTATTTCTTACAATTTATTCACTTTGTATCCCTGCTGTAGTCCCCTCCCTCGTTCCTCCCTGGTTCCACACTTCCTCCCTCTTCCCCATCTATGTCTCTCCCCTAGTTCACTGATAGGAGAGGTCCTCCTCCCCTACTATATGACTATCAGGTCTCATCAGGACTGTCTGGATTCTCTTTCTCCGTGGCCCAGTTATGCTACCTCACCAGGAGGAGGTGATCAAAGAGCTGGACACTGAGTCCATGTCAAAGTCAGCCACTGCCCTCCCCTTACTAGGCAACCCCTATGGAAACTGAGCTACCCCTGGACTACATCTGAGTAGGGGGTCTAGGGATTGTTTCAAGTTTGATGGTACAATGTCTGGGGAAGTGTGCTAGAGCAAGATCACAGTTTCACATGCATTAAGAGTTTGTCAATTTTAATGACTTTGATCAAATGCAATTGAAAAGATAATTACCAATGTTTTACCCAGAGATTCTTGTTAATTTTATTCTGAAAAAAATTTAACTCTAAAGCAAATGAAATATTAGCAAAATTTGTAGAAATATGCTTAAATACATATTCATTAAACCTAAAAGGGAATACTTCTTAGGTGTACATCTCCTCATGATGCAGTCAGAGTCCCAAGAAAGTACCATTAGTTGCTGTTCATCTACATATATATTCTCAGAAGACCTGTATGTTTTCTTTAAATCTATAAGAATGTATATTTTCCAAAACTCCAAGTGACACTGGATAACTGAAACCATCCTGTTGGAGAATATTTGATCACACCATGAACCCCCACACAGTGTTATCTACTGAAAAAGAAAAAAAGTTTCTAGTTGTGGTGTGGCTTAGCCCCAGCATAGACCTTTACTCCAATCCTGTTTACTTGAAACAGGATTAAATAAAATCAACCATAGATCAAGAGTTGGCAGGAAGTGAGCATAGACTAATAAGAAAAAAAAAAAAAACCGTAGAAAGTAAGAGAAAGTCAAGAGGATGGTAAGAGAGACACACAGGAAGTAGGGAGGGAGAGTCGGTTTGAGGAGGTTGTTTGAAACAGATTGGGAGAAGGGGTGTTCCTTCTGGGGTATCACCTGGGGAGGAATGTCATCTGGGCTCTTTCACCCCAACATCTAACTCCTGAGTCTTTACTGGTAAAATCGAATGATTTAGATTTTGTTAAAAACAACACCATTCTTAAGCTGTATCCCTAAATCTTAACAAAGGAGTATAAAATACAAAAGTAGTCTTCTGTTTTGAAATACCCTCAGCTAAATGTGGTTACCTTCACTTTGAAGAGGACCCTTCTCGATATGATAATAATCACGGGATTTTTGCAGAGGTCCTTTATCAAACTGAAAAAGTTTCTTCTGATTCCTACTTTAATTAAAACTCTTTTTCTTGAAGAAATGGTGCATTTTGTCAAATTTCTTTTTCTACATCTTTTCTTATAATCGTATGGATTTGCTTTTTTAAACTATCTATGGCATTGATTGTCTGATGTTAGGCCTATGTATAGTTCTTCATAAACACTGCTGTGTTCAGTTTCCTGTGTTTTTCTTTGGAGAAGTGTGTCTTTGTTCATGAAAGTTCTTTGTCAGAAGTTTCCTGTAATGTCTGCCTTTGGCTTGAACATTAGATTAATTCTGGCACCTCTCTGTCAGATTAATGTTGACATCAGATAATGTTTCTGGTAAGTGGAAATATTATAGACAAGTGCTATTTCTTTTAAAATTTGTCAGAATCATTTTTTTCAGAATCATTATTAACATCTAATATTAACACTTTTATTCTGACAGACTTAACTATTGATTCAATTTCTTTTATAGCTATAATTCATTCAGATTGTCAATTTTTCTTGTATAAGTTTGATCTTATATCTTTGTAGAAATTGATCTATTTATCTAGACAATTAAATTTTGGAGCATGGAGTTATTTATAATGTCCCTTTATTATCTCTTTAATAAATCCAATGAATAATAGTCTCTCTTATATTTCTTTTATATTAGTAGTTAGTTTCTGTATTTTAATTAACCCACTTTAATAAAATTATTGAGATTCATTTAAAATTATTATGCAGTATCTCATAAAGAACTAGTGAACAAACATATAAAAACTAATAAACACAGAGTAAATCAGAGAGACAGTTTGTGTGTAATCTCAACAGACCAACAAAACAGATTAGTATAGTAACTCAATAAATTTTATAATTATAAGAAAAACAGTGAAAATCACTGAAAATCTCCTATTTATTATTTATAATTATGTTCACAGCCTCCTTTCTCTTTCTAAATCATTCATTTTTCTATTCCTTTAATAGAATGAATGATAGATAGAGATAGAAAGATTGACAGATAGATGATAGATAGATAGATAGATAGATAGATAGATAGATAGATAGATTATTTAAAACTCTTTCCAGTTTACAACACTAATAAGAGCAAAAAGAAGATTTCTGTCTCTTAGGAAAAAAGATATTTACACTTGTGTATTTTCAAGATAGTTACCATAAGAAAAAGGAGGTCATAGGGCTTTCAATATATATGAATCTGTTTACATTTTAGTCAAGCTGATGCAAAAGTTAAGCCTATCTTGGCTACTCTATTCTGAATAGTCAGAAATAAACACAATAGAAAGCAATTATGACATATGACTGATATGAACATTGTGATGTGAGATGTGGTGTGGTGTATTATGGTGTGGTATGCTGTGGTATGGTGTATTGTGGTGTGGTGTGGTGTGTTATGGTATGGTGTGGTGTGGTGAGGTTTGGTGTGTTATGGTGTGGTGTGGTGTGATGTGGCATGATGTGATGCTGTGGTATGAATAAGTAGAGGGTACACAGGAAAGACAGCCTAGGTAATAGACAAAAAAAGACCATATTCCATCCAGTGTTTCATAGGCTCACTTTACCTGCCTATAGTATGCAGACACCTTGTGTGCTTTCATTTTTTCCTTCTGAGTTTCTTCTCCTTTTCCTGGAGGTCCTACAAAAGCTGCCCTAGTTTTGTAACACATTTTTACTATAAAGCACATCTTTAACTGTCCCCTGGGAAGACGCAGTACTCAGTTACCACCCATCAGCCTGAAAGTCAGGGAAGCTCTCTTTCAGTAAGGCAGACTAAAGTATCTAAAGACAAGCTCTATTTTATTTATCTTCCTATATTTCTTATGGGATTTAATTTAAACTAAACGGATGTGATTAACAGTACTAATTAACAGTACTAATTGTACTGTTTACAATTAACAGTACTAATTGTACTGTTAACAGTACTAATATTAACAGTACTAATTGTATTAGTACTGTTAACAGTACTAATTGTAACATGGAAAAGCATGTAGGATTTATCAAGTGGGATATCCAGTAATATTTAATAGTAAAGTATAAACGAGGATAACACCTGCCCATTAGTTTTAGTCCAAAATGAATGGATTCTTCATGCTAATTTTCTATTACGGTTCCTTCCTAGACTGCAACAAAGACCTGCTGATAGACATACTAACACAACGCAGCAATGCGCAGCGGCAGATGATAGCTGGGGCCTACCAGAGCATGTACGGCCGGGTAAGCCTTGACCTGTTTCGAGGTCAACACCCTTTTCAGAGAAATGGACCTTCTTTCCTTCAGGCTCACTGAGCACAAACATTTCTTAACTCCTTGTTAGTTAAAAAAATGGTTTGTCTTGCTCTTAACATACTTCAAGGAATAAGAGCTCTTTCATGAAAAGTCTATGTGTATGATGTCTATTGACACTCACAGTGACTTGCCTGTGCTTTTCCTATTTATACAGTCTCTCACAAAAGAAAGATTGGATAACCTTTTATGCCACTTGGTCCAATTAGGCTGTAAGTGTAGGGCTGGGAACGCCTATGTGGAGCTTTAGGGGAGGCAGAGAGCCGACTAATGATCACTGGGGTCAGAAAAATAACATCTTTCCCACCAGATCTCTGCAGGTCCTCACCTAGCTCTGAGCCAATATGAATTTTCTTCTACCTTTTCTCCTCCACAGCATGCCATGATGGAGACCATTAAAAGGGGAATGGCATTTTAAAAATAGTTTAAGGCAATAAAACTATCCATGTTTTAAAGTAATCACATTCTAATTTCAAAGTGAGAACCATTAAGGAGTCTTTGCTTTTGTTATGCATTTAAACCACAGATTCAGAACAAAAACTCTTCAGGCCAAAAGGGCCTGGAATAGCAATTACTTTGTCAACTGCACATTATTGATGAAACACTCTCATAAAACTTTCTCTACAGAGTTAGTCCATATAAATTGACTCTGTCTCTAAAGAGCAGCCTTTGAACGACCATAACACATGCAACAAAAGGTAGCTCTGTGTTTTAGAACAGTTAATGATCCAGAAAGCTCTGCAAGTAGACACATGAGTTGAATTAAGCCAGAGGAGACAGTTACACCTCTTTCTACATAAAACTGTTACCTTACCTTATGCTCCCAGAGCTAATTTTCTTGCTAACAAAATGTAAAAATGTTCAGTGTAGTACAGTTGTTAATCTAATATGATCTAAATGTACACAGTACCATAAGTGATGATATTGCTCAGGAAAAAAAAAAATAATCCAAAGGTATACTTCAAATTAACTTAGGCCAAAGACCTTCTGCATATCAAGCTCTGCAAAAATCATACCAAAATAGATTAAAATAAGACATGAGTTCCTTAGACTCAAGGGATTTAAGGCCCATTAAAAAACTTACACTGGCGTGAAACTCTTTTCACTAAGGTCTTGGAGTTATCCTGCACTTTCCCTGAACAATTGGCGTGTCATAGCTGATGGCTAAATTGCTGAAGAAATGGGACAACACAGAGCCAGGCTTGTCCCTCACCTCAGAAATAGTCTTGTCATTCAGTCAGTTGTAAAGTCCTGCCATTTATCACTCCCTCACATTCTTCTCCTTCCTTCCATTACAGATTCTTGTTTTAGATCAGCATGGTTTTCTTTTTTCTTTGTTTGTTTTGTTTTGTTGAATATTATTATTATTATTATTATTATTATTATTATTATTATTATTATTTACAATGTATTCACTTTGTATCCTGACTATGGTCTCCTCCCTCATCTCCTCCTGGTCCCATCATCCTTTCTTCTTCCCCAACTATGTCCCTCTCCTAGTCCACTGATAGGAAAGGTTCTTCTCTACTACCTGACCCTAGCTTATCAGGTCTTATCAGAACTGTCTGGATCCTCTTTTTCTGTGGCCTAGTAAGGCACCCCACAGAAGGTGGTTGGGGGGAGATGATCTCTGTTGCTTGCTCTTAGATGATCATGGTTTTCTGTGCAGGCTAATCTTAACTGGTTCCTACTACTCAATTTCTATTTCCTCTACATCCTCCTTTCTTTTACTATACCAACCTAAATCTAGAATGATGCAAAAACTAAAATTTCTCTAGCATTTACTATATTACTCCATCATAATTATCTATAGATGTATGACCCAAACCTGGATCCTTTTTACCTCTTTTTTAATCTTATGTTTCATTCATTTTTATTTTTATTTTTACAATTAATTCATTATATATCCCAATTGAAGCCCCCTCCCTCAACTCTTCCCAGTCCCTTTCATCCTTTCTTATGATATGGGAAGCCTTCTTACTTTCTTTTTAGTTTTCATATTCTCTCTTTCTCTCTCTCTCTGTCTGTCTCTCTCTCTTTCTCTGTGTGTGTGTGTGTGTGTTTCTCTCCCCCATTGCTCCCTTCCCCCTCTCTCCATCTTTGTCTCTTCTTACCATTCTTACTTTATCTTGGACAGCATTGACTGCATCCCCAGGAAATGTTTGTAGTTTTCCATAACATCCTTGCCTGCTTCCTTATTTTTCATCATGCTGTTTCATCTGCCTTCAGTAGCCTCAGTCCTCATTACATTGGCTGCACCCATTAAACTTTCAGACACTGGACACCCACTCCTCAAAACCAGTAGATCCTAATTCATGAGTTTGTTTTCATCTGCTCCTCATTACCAGTGTACTAACTTGGAACAATGTTTGTTCTGCCAGAGCTTAGTATAAATGTTTATTTAATAGCAAGATTGACTGATTGATGTCTGGTGGATGACTCTGACTTCAGAGCTAAAAGAAGCTCCTCCAGTAAGATGCAATCCAACTTTGGGTGCAATTGCAAAGCTCTTCAGCCTGCCATGTGCTTTCTGCTCTGAACTAGGTGCTCCCTGTTTGAGTCAGAGAGGTCCCTGTATATAATATTATGACAGTAGCTATTGGTTCCTGTTTATGTTTTATCAAGTTCATTATAACATCTAAAAAGAGACTGGCTTATTTTATTCCTGTCCTCTAGAACTCAGTCAAGGTCTAATATGCAGGAAGTTCTTCATTGACAGTATAAGACAGACTAATGAATTATGTTCTGTCCATATACTTTTTACCATCTACTTTGAAAATAAAAAATAAATTATGAGGGAGGACCTCCTTATCATCTGCTCTAGAATTAAAATAGCCATGGTTTCCTGAGTTTCTCTTTTCCCCTTATGCTCTGCTGTGTCTGCTTTTCACGTTAATCTGCCCAACCTTCCATTAGGTCCTCCTGGCTTTCTCCACTGTGTGCATCCAAAATGACATCTCCTATTTCACATTTACGGCACTCCGCTTTCTAAGTGAAAAAAAAAAAAAAAAAAAAAAGATTGTCTTCTATGTTAACCATTGATACTTCTATTTTCTACTCACATGAATAATCAAGAGTTGACAACATTGTTTTCTTAGCTGTGAGAAAAGCATAATATGAGGCAAGCTTATAAGTACTTCTTGACTGAGGGTTCACATTAGTACCAGACTTTTGGAGTTGATCACTATCATCATTGCCTTAAATATAACAAAAACTAATCCTCAAGCTCAACTGAAAAGCATTTACTCTTCATCAGATTGGCACAGTTGTCAGTATAAATAATGAGATTTCCCACTGATCTTTTCCACCAAAGCAAGTGTCTAAGTATTGACAATGAACAGGACTAAGGGATGGAGAGAATCCTGTCCATCAATGACAAACTTGACAACTAGACCATGGTTCCTTAAATAATTCAACTGGAACATTAAAGCAATTTGTGGTTCCGAGTTTTCAGCCGTAACAGGTCAACTCCATAATATGTTGATTTCTGTTTCATCACAGCATTGTTTGGCTAAACCATCTGACTAAATTGTGCCTTCCACAACCCCTCCTTAATACCCTTTGTTCTCAACTAAGGAAGCACCAGAGTTGTCAAAGGCAGTGAGTACTCCAAGGTTTTCTTCAATAGCAACTACTCCAGAAAGTTTAATATATTTGACAGTGTAACTCATCCAAGGTATATATTAGCACCAATAACTCCCTCTCTTGTTCTCTCTCTCTCTCTCTCTCTCTCTCTCTCTCTCTGTTTGTGTGTGTATGTATGTATGTCCATAACATTTAACACTTATCATCTTAATATATCCACCTGTTCTTATTCTTATCCGTGATGTGTCACATCACTCTGAAATACAAGCTTCATAAAGGAGGGGATATTTGTTTTATTCACAAGTGTGTTCAGAATACCCACCACAGTTGCATTGAAATGGTGGCCAATATAGACAGAAACATGGTCACCCAAATGTATATTTCAGAACCCTACCTCCAGTGTGATTATATCTCAAAATAGACCTTTAATGAGATAATTTAGTGATGTGAAAAAAAAGAGAGATCCCTATTCTAGTAGCACTTCTTTCATAAGAAAAAGAAAAGACACTAAAGGTCTGTGTATATAATAAGGAGATGGCTGTGTACATATTAGGGAAATGTATCTCAGTAAAAACCGAAACTGCACAGGAAGACTTTTGACTCTCTTTCCTCAGCATTCTGAGCCTCAAACTCTAATGTTTAAGCCCACAGCATCATGCTATCACAGCCCAAGCTGTTTATCTTCACTAAGAAGTTCATGCTTCAAACTTTCTTTGTTCTCAATTACACTTTCACTTATTGTCGTTGAGCTCATGGTTAAACATATCAATAACTTAAGAGTGTTATAGCTAAGAAGTAGCTAGAAATTATCTGATCTATAGATGTTCATCCTTCCTTTAGAATGATTCTTTCTCCTTCTCACATCATTTCTATTTTGAAAAGGATCAACAGATGTAGTTTTAGCCCAAAGGCTGAGTTTTGTTATCTAGTTTGTCACAGATAAATATTTTATAAATATTACATTTATTGAGTTAAATAAACCTTCTGATAAAACCTGGAACTTAACAGATTAGAAAAATAATTCTAATTTCTAAAAATTTTTCTAAAGAATCAAAGTTCCACACATGCAGAAAAATCACCTCTGCAGTTTTCTTATTGAAATTATTTCTCTTTGTAATGACATATTTAATAGCTATGGCAGGAAGGAGGAACAAGAGGAGAGGAGAAGGAGGAATAGAAAACTGACAATACAGTTATTTTTGCATTAAAAGTACCCTCACTACACTTCAGTTACTCGCTAAGGCAGTTATGTGAATTCACACTTTTACCCACAATGCATAACGATTCCTGTTCCTCTAAAGTTATCAGCAACACTGGATGATATGCAGTTTTGTCAATTTAACCTG